GCGCAAGCGCCAATCATCTGTGCCTCAACAGCCCACGGTTAGGCCCATTCGGCTTCCCAAAGATTCGCTTCCCAAGCTACGCGCCCTGCTACAGGCAAGGGCAGATTACTATCTGTCCCATGTTTTCAAGCGCAGCGCCGGCACTGTTGCTCTCAGCCAGCCACGAGTTAGAACCCATTCGGTCCCAGCTCGCGCCCTGGCTAAGACCAGGCAGCATTTACTAATTCTAAGTCCCACTGTTTCAAGCGAGCGCGACCATCTTGTGCCTTAGCAGCCACGAGTTAGGTCCATTTGGCTTCGCAAGCTCGCGCCCTGGCTAAGGCAAGGGCATATTTACTAATCTGGTCGGCCAAATACCTAAGCTAAGCAGCCGATCTAACCATAACCGAAAGCAATATCATTCATCAACAACATTTTTCTTAGCAAGTTGAGCACAACTCATGAAATTTTATATACACAAATTACTGAACAAAGAGTTAAAAGCCCGCATGAAAATGCCTAGTAAAAAACTATGATTGTAGCAACACATGAAAAATACGAAATTAAAAACTGTAAAAATACATTCATCATCCTAAAAACTATGTCAATCGCCCAAGATCAGTCATCGGAATCAAACTCCAATGGCTCAACATCCACTTGCTCATATGGTATTAGCATAATCAATGAAACTTTAGTAGCAGCAAGGGCTTTGCGCCAGCCATGTTTGAATCCCCGATTTTCAAACTTGGGGACTTAGTCCAAATACTCGGCGAGTCCAGCATTTTTCCCGGCCTCGAATACTTTGGAAGCCTCCGAGTCGGCTATTTCCTTCGCCGCCTTTATTTCAGCCAACTCAGCCTCCAGTTTGCAGACCGCCTTCTGGGCTAATTTGAGCGCATCATCGCTCGCGTCCGTCTCCTTCTCGGCATCCGATCTCAATTGATCTGCGCTACAAGCCCTCTCCACCTTGGCCTCAGCCCTTGAGGCTTCCTTGTTCGCCCTCAAAGCTTCAACCTTGGCCCTTCTCCTTTGGCCCTTAACTTTCTTTCGTAAACGACCAATCTGTTTGACGGCATTGCGATGGCGACAGCCCATATCGGCTATCCTTCCGACGGTCTGCAAGACAAGAATTTAAAACCATAACTTCAACAGTATTTGGATTATGTGAAGCAAAGTCTGAATATGTACCAAAAGTGCCGATTGGGCGGCTAGTGCTGTCGCATTCAAATCTGGTTCCACCCGGAAAACCACCCTGTTAGACGGCAATGACATGGGCGTAGCCAAGCTGAATGCGACTTCTGGATCTTTAAGCGCCAAAGCATCAGAAGAAACCGACATATTTTTTATCATCGGCTGAATGACAAAAGGAACGATCACATTCGATCCCTCTAATCGAGGACGTTTGCCGCCTTGTTCTTCTGAGCCGGCCTCAAACTTGGCAGGGCGTTTCTCTGCCTCTTCCTCAACTTCTTGGCCGGCCTGCACGATCAAAGTAGATTCGGCATTCTGATTTTTTGCCATCTCTACCTCAATTATGTGCAAGGACTCTGAGTCGCTAAAAGGCAGGAAGAGTTGAGATTCGGTGGCGAGTGGTACTTCAGACGGAAGGGCCTCCGCTCTTCGCCGCACGGCCAACCTTTCTGCATTCGCCTTCCTAGCAAGTTTTGTCAGGCTTAACCCAGCCATATCTTCGGGGCTTGCGGCGGGAAGATCCTCTAAGCCGTCAAAAATGCCGTCAAGTGAAAGACCCCCTCGGCCCGAAGTGGATGGAAGATCGGCCGAATTCAATACCTCGTCAGACTTGGTTTCGTACCGATCTGATTCGGTAACATTAGCTACATCCCGCTCTGAATCAGACCCTTCAAAACCAACCTGCCTCAAGTTTTTGAAGTCGGACAAAATAAGAGCGATAAGAGAATCTTCACCCTCCAGAACCGGGATATTTTCCGCCGCCGAGAAGGTCGTATATGTCGGCTCATAACGAAGCAGAACGTGGACCGCCCTCCCTTGTTTCTGAAGACTTCGACAGCCGAAATACTTGAGCGCGACTTTGATATCCGAAAGAACGGCGTCGTCAGTCGAAGACAGGACTTTCTTCAAATCGTTCCCTGCACAAGCCAAGCCGTAACATTTCAAAGAAGAGGCTTTACAACAAAAATGAACAAATAATAAAAGCGAGAAGGCAATCGGCCACTTGGCTCGCCCCTCTGTTTAGGAATAGGGTTGATGTGATCCTCCCCTTCGCCAAATTCTCAGTTATCCTGGACAATGACCTTAACATCATCAACTCGTTTCCCAGAACTGGAAAGCATAGTAATTAACTAATGGTCGATATCCTTGGCCCTAAGGAAGAAACGCCCGTGCCGACCAGAAGACTTAGCCAAGGCATAGCAATACCGAATGGCTGGAATGCCAAGGTTAATTCTAAGGCGACGGTTGAGCGCTATAACCCCCATTATAATTCTAAAGAAATTCACATTGAATTGGGAAGGGATTAAACCCCAATAGCGAAGCACAACCCTAAGAAACGGGTGAAGGGGAAAATGGACTCCACCCTCTGTGATTGACAAAAGAGGAAAGACAATCGTGGTTTTGTCCTCCCTCTCCATATCAAGAGTGCCGTCTGCCACAAACAACAGACGGACATCATCAAGAATGGAGAAATGGCATTTAAAGCAAGCAATTCAATCTGACGAGAGAAGGTCTTTTAAATGTTTCGCCATACCCTACAGATTATAAGAATATGCCAAGGAAGGAATAAACTAGAAATAGTCTTCGAAGCAATGAATGAGAGAACTTACAAAGGACGAAGAGGATATCGGAGAAGAGAGTTGTAGGGACGATTCAAAAGGCAATCCAGCGACGAGCGTCACAAAATACATACTCGAAAGGATGTCAAAATTTTAAATCGTAATAAATAGACATGTACGAGGGGGCGGGAAGTCGACATGACAACCGAAAAGGGTGCGCTTAGATATCTGTATGAGGGTGAGGCCAACCGCCGAATTTTGGCTCTGATTTTTCAAAATTCGGAACCAAGCACTCCAGTCAACTGTCGTTGGTAAAGTGCTTGGGGGGCAATCGTGGAAGCCAAATAAATAGAAGAGTCGGAAGGTACGTACCCTAGAAATTAGATATTATTTGGCTCCATATTGCGTGACTAGGATGCCGAATACGTTAGGAAGGCTGAATAGCCGGAGATCAGCAGCTCCGAATAAATAAAAGGGGAATGGGATAAAAGTAGGCTCAGGCCCCGAGGCCCAAAAAGCAAGTATAAATACAAGAACCACAGATTTAGAAAGGTATGTAAGAATCACTTCACTTAACTTAGTAAACAAGCTGTCCTGAGTGTTTGAACTGACTTGTCCGTCGGAGTGCTAATTCTGGCACCCCCGACCGGAGTGTTTGTATCTTTTCAGGTGACTAGCTGAGGATCACTAGCGTCTCCCAGGATCTGAAGAGTATTTCCAAACCACTTCTCCACATTAGTTAGTAAACAATCATTCCACAAAGATGTTGATATGAATAGCTATATACATTTTGTCTACCAAGAAATGCACTTTTAATATCAATGTTCTTTCTTGGTCTTATTTATGGTGTATGAGTATTATTTGTCATTATATGTGTTTGTTAAGCATAACACAATATGAAAGTTTACATATGTATATCATATGCTCACCCTGTCAACACATATTGGGGATATATGTAACTTTTCTACATTTTATTTTGCAAAAAATCAAAACAAACTATTTCAAAAAAAAAAATGTAAAGAAACTACAAAATTACAAATTTCATAGAACAAATCAACTGTTTATTGACAAATTGTATCAAAATATGAAAATTCACATTAAGAAACTTGCACCAACAAGTACACTCATACATGAACTATTAAATTGTTTTCTAATGCAAATGTATGTAACATTCACAACACTATGTTATTTATCTAAAACAAATTCTGTACTATAAATACTCACAACTCAACATAATATTCACAACGATATCCAACACATGAACCAATACTCAAAACTCAACATAATATTCACATGAACTCTATTATTTGATCTTTAACAACTTTAATTATGGCTGCCCATCGTTTTCCATATACCACACCTCAAATCTGTTAAAAAACATATATCATATTCCATCCATGAACACATATTGTGTATATATGTAACAAGATAATATTTTGTTTTGATAAAACTGATAAACAAACTATTTCATAAATATACAAAATGAAAAAAAAAAACTACAAAATGACAAATTGCATAGAATTAATGAATCCCTTCTTATTCAAAAATTGTATTGAAATACAAAACAAGTACACCAATGTATCAACTAATAAAATGTGTATCCAATGCAAATGTATGTAACATTCACAATGGTATCTTATTTATCTAAAAAAAAAAAAACACTGTAAATGTTCAAAACTGAATATGAAATTCACAATGTCCACCAACCCATCAACCAATATAACTCTGTATTGGTTCTTTACACGACTTCCGATTGTGCCTGCCCATCTTTCCACATCTGCCACACCTGATTTGACTTACTTTTTCCCCTCGAGATGGTATTCTACTCTTTCTCGGCCTACCAGCTAGTTGTTTTACAATTGGAGGTAATATGATTGGGAAAATAGCCGCTGCATATGTTTCCCTATAATTCTCTACATGAAAATATTTTTCAACACAATCATTAAGATTATATGCACTCCTTTGGATAGCCGCAACAGCATGTTCACAAGGAAATCCGTTTACTTGCCACTAGTAGCAAGAACAAACACAGTGTCCAACATCAGCCGTAACTGATGGAAACGAATGCACCTCAAACACATCATCATTAGCTTTACTCACATTCCATGACCTACTAGAATTGAATGAATCTTGGAGGTTAGTCTCAAAGGTACGACAAATAATTCCATTCCACTTGTTTGCAATATCCCTTCGCTCTGACATTTGACACATTATTTGATTCCGGATAGTATCAACTAATTTTGTTATTGGAAGATTTCGTACTTCTTTAATCTAATTGTTGAATGATTCAGCAGCATTGGATGTCATCTCGCCATATCGTTGTCCCCTAACACATAACAGCAAAAATTGTCACAATTTTATACCATATGTGACATTTCACATTGTTATAACAACACAAAAATATAAACAATGTACATATAACCATCATTATATTCCATGAAACACACAATTGTACACACTTTACCTAAAGTAAGCATTTGCCCAATGGTCTGGTTCTAACCTTGACAAGAAGTTATATGCTCGTTGCTTCCCCTCACTTTTCAACTCTTCTAGTAATGCATGAAAACCTGCCATAGTTGGTTCATATGCACAATCACCCAACTTCCGTATTAAGTGTTCCTTGAAACCATTCTCCATACCCTTCAACTTGTCCCTAAAATTATTCTTTAGGTGTTGTAAACACCATCCATGATATGCTGATGGGAATGCCTTTGGCATTGCTTCCAAAAGCCCTAGATTACGATCGGATACAAATGTCATGGCGTCTATCATTAGCAATTACTTTTGACAATTCATATAGAAACCATGACCAATTCGATTCACTTTCCGAATCAACAATTGCAAAGGCTACTGGAAACAATCCTAAAAACAAAACCAATGTTAACAGTAACAACTCACACACAAAAATTAAACAAATGTCAAACTTCACATCAAAAAACTAGCTGTCGCTGCAAGCAACTGCCCTTTGTATCTTCCTTTTAGAAATGTTCCATCAAGAAAAAACAAATGGCGACAATATTTGAAGCCATTTATGCACGCAGCAAATGCTACAAAAAAACCTTTTAAACTGACTAGTCTTCAAATTATAGTCAATATTGATATGACTTCCAGGATTATAATGCTGAACAGCATCACCATACCATCTCAGTTGGTCAAACGATGTTAAGTAATCACCATGCATAGCCTCTCTCGCTTTCTCAACACCTAACCATGCTACATGGTAGCTAATATCAAGTCTATAGTCTGCCTTGAAAGTGTATGCCACATCAATGGGGGGCGTTAGTGGTTTGTCCCTAACACACTTAGATACAACATTTGACACCAAATCAGAGCTGAGCCTTGGATTTTTTGAAGTACGAACATTAGCACCACAACTATGTATCTTCGTCCATCTCTTAAGGTAGAAAAATTGGTTTGCTCTTTGGCCTCTACCATGCATAGACCACAAACATCCCCTATCATCTCTATGTGAGCATCCAGCAGTAATTCGTTGTGAATCGTTCTTTAAATATTTGAATTTAAACCCACATTGCATTGCATATTTGCATAAAACAGTACGAAACTCAAATGCTTGTCCTGTGAAACATTGACCAACATGTGTAATACCATTTGCCCAAACTGAAGACAACAAAACCTTCTCACTCTGTGCACAATATCTACAAAGCAAATTTGTTTGATCCTCATCTTCAATGCATGGATTTGCTAAACTACTATGTCTATCAGTGCCCAATTTTTGCTCAACAACAACATCAATTTGTTCAACTCCAATTGATTTACCAAGAAATAACATGTTTTGCAATTCCTCATTGTTATCCAAATGACACTTTGTATACCTCGGCAGTCGGTAAAACATAGTGATTGAATCAGCAGACAAATCACACCATTTGTTGCACACACATTTCACTAACTCGTCAAAGGAAAATGATTGTACCACATTTATCACAAACATGTTTAACCCATAGCAGCACAACAACAACATGAAAAAATCCATTTGCCACGTATCACACTGCAAAATCATCAATAGTACATAAAATAATTTGAATATTCAATCACATTCATATGTGTGAAGATTTGCTAACACAATGAAATGTATCAGGATTTTTAAATAGTTCAAATATTCACATCATAAAAAAAAAAAAAAACTCTACCTCCTCAACAAACAATCATAAGCCTTACATTTATCATCATACACACCATATACAACAAATTTTAAGCTCACAGTATATATACATACATACAATTTTAATTACAAAATTCATATACTGATAGCGTGAACTTCCAGTTCACTAAATGCTTAACAACAGTTTGTTCAAACACTGATGCAACAAAACTTCATCATTCAAAATTTCACATGAACACAATGATTTCATCACAACAATGAATCAATCACTAATCACATGACATAAACATCACTGTAATTAATTGATGTTAAACGATGAAGAACAACGAAGAACAAAATTGATGATAAACGAAGAAGAATGACAGAATAGAACAATGAAGAACAAAATTGATGACGAACAACAATGAAGAACAGAACAAATCACAACACCAATCTCAAACAAAAACTAACCTTCTCCAGAACATTGACTAAAAACCAGACAAAATCGCAAATCGAAAATCGCAAAGACAAACCCGAAACTGCGAATCACGCAAAACCTAGAGCTTTAATAATCGCAAAACCGCGCCCAATCTATAGCTTCAGAAACTACCAAATCGAAAATCGAAAATGGCAAAGAGAAATAAGAAATTGCAAAGAATCCGGAATCCAAACGTAGATCGCTGACTTCCCAAAAATCATATTCAAACAAGCAGCTATATATATAAGGGTAAAATGGTCAAAAAAATACATAATAAAACTGAAAATAGGACCTCTGGGTCTAAAAGTGTAAACTTTAGGATTTAATAAAATAAAAATAAAAAACATGGATTGATTGGTATAAAAAAAAAATCTAAAATAGGATTTTCTGGTAATTTTCCCTTCTTTAAATGTAACATGTTTTGTTTAGCTTTTAAAAATAAAATAAAAAATTTAATATAAATATTTATAAAATTTGAAATTATATGAGATTAAAGTTACATTTGGAATTTTCTTTTAAAGATTTTTAAATTTCAAATTAGATATGGTTCAAATATGATTAGGGATGACCATTTTAATTCGATCCATGGAGCCCGTCCATACCCACCCAAATGGGGCGGATTTTACCCGTCCCGACACTTATGTGGGGCGAGGATGGATTATATTTTGGACACCCGCAATGGAGGTGGGGCGGGAGCGGATATCGCCTCCCCCGATCCAAACTCGACCCGATGTAACTAATAATATATAAATAAATAATATGTATGTATATATATATAATAAATATATATAATATAATTAGATTTAAGAAAAGAATATTAAAAGTCTCTAATTCTATTTAAATATAAATAAATAATAATCCTAAAAGTCTCACTGTTTGTATATATGGAAGTAAGGAAAATTATTTAGTGTGCTAAGAATTTAAATTGTTCTCAATTTTTTTAGTTATTTGAAATGTGTTTGAATATCTGTGGGTATCTATGTGGGCAGGAATGGAGTTAAAAAATTCCACCCGTAGCGGGGGCGGGGTGGGGTTTGTTCGTAGGGGCTGGGGCAGGGAATGGCAAACCCGTCTCATGGCCATCCCTAAATATGATGGGCTACATGTGGCTAAATTTTTATTTTTATTTTCTATATCAAGATTTTAAAATTTTGAAATCATTGATTTGTTAGATATACTAAAATTTCTATGCTATATGTATTTCTTAACACTTAAATTTAAAAAATAAAAAGTAAAAAAAGTTTTAGATTAATGTTTTGAAGCTCAAAGAATTTTTTAAACAAAAAATTCACTTTACTTAATATATAACTGGCATATTACCTATTCACCCAAAAAAAAAAACTAGCATATTACCCGTACTATGCATGGTATAATAAATAATAAAAAATTAGTTATAATATAGATATAAATATATATGGAATAATACCATAGCAAGTGTTTCATTTTGAAACCCTAAGTCATGGGATATACCAAAGCAATTGTTTTATTTTTAATTGAATTTTGAAATTTATTATATACTTTCTTTTTCAAAATCATGGACTAATTAGTCAATAGGGAAAAAAAATTTATTTTTTAAAATTTTATAAAGAGTGCTGCTATTGGCACTCTATCAATTATTTTGGCCACCCCATTTCTTTGGACCCCCCACTTATAAATTGTAAAACTCTTCAAATTTCTTTTCTCTCCCCAAATAATACCAAAATTGCCCTTATAAAAACATTCCACCTATTCAAATACACACCTCCACACCCCAAAAAGCCTTTCTTCCAAAACCCTAACAAAACCCACGAAATCGGAACCTCCCAAAACCAACGGAAAAAATTTAAAGTGATTAAGAAGTTTTTTCTCTGTTTTGTTATGAGCAGTGGCGAAGGGAGCATGGGACCAGGGGGGTCATGTGCCCTTGGATTTTGGGAATATTTTTTTTTTTTTTTGCAAACATAAAGAAAATATTTTAAATAAAAAATTATAAAAATATTATTAGAGTGAAATGTCAATGACATTTTAAAAATTATGAGAACAATAATAGTTGTTTTGATTGAAAATGAAGAGACTATTATAAATAAACCATATTATTTATGAAAATTTTATGAAATTTTTTTAATGTAACGGTGATATTATTTTTAGTGATATGCAAGTATAAGTAATCTCACTATATATATATATATGAAATTTATTAGATTGTTAGTTACATTTGACATGTGAAGTTCACTCTCTATGTGTTTATTTTCCATTAGTGGGTTACATATCAATGATGACGTGGTATTACTATTATATTGAATTTTTAATCAAATTTTGTATAAAAAAAATAATTTATCATTACATAATTTATTTTAAGGCTTATATCCATATTTTTTTTGTATTGTCCATGATACACTAGTTATAAATAACATTATTTTTTTTTAATGTTTCTCGAAATTAATCGTAAAAACTTGCGTGAAATATTTTTGTAAAAATTATTATAATTAATAAGTGCCCCCTCTAATTTAATTTTCTGGCTCCGCCACTGGTTACGAGGTTTGTCAATCCTTTTGAATTTTTTTTTTCTATTACTTGTTTACACACACACAACACAATCCACTTCCATACTTCTTTGATTAATTTTCTATCATTCATTCATGACTTCATTGTACTTGTATGCAGGGACAAAACTACTCATGGACTAAGGGTGGTCGTGGCCCCCGCCCTTTACAATACTCCTTATAGGTATCGTGCAACTTAATGACACGTAAAACCATTTTGGATATATGGCCTCTCTTATTTCATGCCTTTCTATTTATATTTCCATTCCTCTCTTTGTTTTTCTCATTAGGTTATGATTAGATATAGAATTTAGGTAATGATTTGTGAAAACAACGAACAAAGTGTGAGAAATGTGAATAAAATATAAGTTAAATTTTAACTCCATTTCTCTCACATTTTTCTTTCCTATCATTACTCAAATTTATGATCTAAGCACAACTATAATGGCCCTCTTCCACCATTTTTGATTGAGCACATATGAAGGGTTATGAGCTTAATCAATATTGTAATAATTATTTTTTGATTAAGTTATTTAAACGGTAGAAAAAAAATTGTTTAAACATGTCTCAATCGGACCTTCCCTCATGTGGAAACTATCATAATACCATCTTATCAGCCCCCTCAATGATGGAATCCTAGTTTTGTCCTTACTTGTATACTCTCTGTGTGATAAAAAATGGGTAGGATTTCACCCACTGATCGATCTGCCGGTTGACCACCCAAGAGTGGTCTGACCTCCTTTGTTTGCCTGCTTCTGTTGCTACTTTGGTTAACTATTCCCGAACAAAAAGAAATGTTCAATTACATGTTCCCGAACAAATAAGCAATGTTCGGGCCTGTGTTCCCGAATTTCGGTCATATGTTCGGGAGTTCAATTTTGAAAAAATGGTGAACAATTTTCATTATTTTTGCTATTTTTTTCAAGAAACTTACCTTACAAGGCCAATCTCCTATGAGCTAAGAATACCATCAAAGTTTTGAACCTCTTCTGAGTTTTTATTGTTGTACTCCTCTCGTTTTATGGAATTGTGGTTGCCGGAAAAACTTCAACTTATTGTCATTGCTAGAGAAGTACATGTAATCAAATGGTTGCTACACCGTTGAATAAGTGCAATTTAAAATGTCAATTTTATTGAATAAGTGCTAGTGGTTATTTTATCTTATTTTATTTTTTTTACAGATTGCATTTGCGTGGACCATTGTGGATATTTATTTTTGTGTACGAAAGACATTTATTTTTCTACAACCCTCTATTTTGGAAATCCAGTGTTTTTCTATGTAATATTTAATTTAGAAGGATTATACTTGGTTGGTGTGGATTTATATGATATTTGGAATATAATGTTACAAGTTAAAGTTTTTGAATAGTTGATAATGAAATGGGTATTATTGATAATGGATTTAGATGATAATTGATAGATGTATTATTTTGTATATGTACAGGTTACAGGTTGCATTGATAATTGTAGCACTTGAGCCCTTTAAAGCTTTTGGTAAATGTATTTGAACCCTTTATTTTATTTTGGAAATTTTTGGTGTTGTTGTACCTTAGTTTTGGAGGTGTACAAATTGATTTAAACTTGTTGGGATTGCTCGTTCATGCTCGTTCGCGTTGAAAAGTTGTTTGGAAACTTGAAAATCATGTTCTGGTGTCGACACCGGTCTTGGTGGTGTCGACATCTTCTTTCTT